CTCTGGGCCTGGGCGCTGTCCCTCAGCTCTTCAGCTCAAGGCTAGCACTCTACCACTTGAGCCACAGCGCCACTTCCAGCTTTTTTCTGCTTATGTGGTGCTGAGGAATGGAACCCAGGGCCTCATGCATGCGAGGCAAGTGCTCTACCACTGAGCCACCTTCCCAGCCCCCTAACTTTATTATTATTAGACAAGGCTTCACTTTTATCCCAGCCTGGGGTCCAAGTCATGATCCTTTGGCTTCTGCCACCCTGAGTGCTGGCATTACAGGCATGCACCACCATGCCTGGCACTTTGTGTCTGTCCCCTGTTACCTTGGCATTCCTGCAGGGCAGCTGCAATGTCCTCAGCACTAAGGACGTCTGTGATGCTCATGGTCCACCTTGTCATAGAAGGAAGATGACAAATATCAGTCAGGAATATTCTGGGGGAAGTACAGAACGCTTGTAGGCTCACCAATACTGTATAATTGTTTGGAGGAGTTCTTTTTATTATTTTTATTTTTGTGCCAGGCCTGGGCTTGAACTCAGATCCTAGGTACTGTTCCTAGGCTTTTGTGCTCAAGGGTAATACTCTACCACTAGAGCCACAACTCTACTTGTGGCTTTTTGGTGGTTAACCAGAGATCAAGAATCTCATGGACTTTCCTGCCCCAGGCTGGTTTTGAACTGCAATCCACAGATCTCCACCTCTGAATAATATGAGCCACTGGCACCTGGTCAGAGTTTTGTTTTGTTTTAAAATGTTGATAAAATGCTGGGCACCAATGGCTCATGCCTGTAATCCTAGCTACTCAGGAGGCTGAGATCTGAGGATTGTGGTTTAAAGCCTGCCCGGGCAGGAAAGGCCATGAAACTCTTACCTACAATAAACCACTAGAAAACCGGAAGTGGCACTGGCTCAAGCAGTGGAGTGCTTGCTTTGAGCGGAAGAGCTAAGGAACAGCGTCCAAGCCCAGAGTTCAAACCCCATGACTGACAAAATAATAAAAAATAAAAATAAAATAAAATTCAGGGCTGGGAATGTGGCTGAGTGATAGAGTGCTTGTCTAGCATGCATGAAGCCCTGGTTTCAATTCCTCAGTACCACATAAACAGAAAAAGCTGGAAATCACCCTGTGGTTCAAGTGATAGAGTGCTAGCCTTGAGTAAATGAAGCTCAGGGACAGTGCCCAGGCTCTGAGTTCAAGCCCCAGGACTGGCAAAAATAAATAAATAAATAAAATTATATTCACCCAATTGCTCCCTTACACAAGCAGCTACAAATCACCCCAAATCAACCTTGTTACAAATATAACCATGTATATATTATGTAATATATATTATACACCTATGCATATATATAGCCAAATCGTATGTCATATATATATCCAAATCATCCCAAAATCAACCTGTTACAAATATAACCATATATTATATAATACATAAATATATTACACATACATATATATATACATATACATATATATAGTCACATGACAAATCCCACATGGAAAGAGACAGGAGAGCCATGAGTTCAAGGCCAGCCTGGACTACAGCTTGACTGCTTGTAGACCCTCTGTGGGTGTCAGCCTCTCTATCCTGAAGGGTTGATGTCTGATGAATGCAAAGTTCATTTTCTAGAGACCCAAACTCTTCCAGGTGTCAAAGCCAGGGGAGAAGAGAACTCGGAGCAGAACCTTCAGAAATCTAATAAAATGAAGGTAGGGAAGAAAAAGAGCCTTGGGTCTGGTGGGACCCTAAGCTACTCACCGTTTTAGATTTTTTTCCCCTGCCAAAAAATAAAAATTAAAAAAAGAATGGGAAAAAGGAGGAGCCAAAATAAAAAAACCAGCCAACCCAACCAATGTGCTTTTGCTACCTTACTGACCCTCCTTTTATAGAACCGAAAAAGTGATGGTTAGAACTCTTAGATTTTCCTTTCAAGGATCAAGTGGACTGCAGCTCGAATATCTTACCTTGTACATGAAACCTCTCTCTCTCACACTTTCTCTCTCTCTCTTTCTATTTATATCTCAAGGGACTGTGATGGGAACAGCCAATTTAAAAACCCCATAAAACCTCAACAAACCTTAACTAAGGTTTCAGTTGTGCAAACGAACCAGTTTGGCAAAGCATTGAAGATACTGAACACTTGGGCAGGAAAAGGGGGGGGCCGTAAGGTGAACGCTTCCCAGATGTTTAGGAGTTCTGTCTGAAGCAGGTCTGTTTTCAGCTTTGTGAAACGTTGGGTGTGACCTCAGTTCAGGGTGGATGATCTCAATGGGTCACCAAGCTGATGCCCAAGGCTTGTCCTGACAAAGGAGACAGCTCGGTTTTCTATGACTTTCTATGAGTCTTTTGCTGTACAGCACCAGGAGGTGAACTCAGAGCCTTTCACTTGCTTAGGTGGGGGCTCTACTGCTCAAACCACACCTCCAGTCCCCCTTTGCATTTAGTTTATTTTTCAGAGAGATCTCTCACTGGTTGCCTGAGTCCAGTGTTGGACTGTGATCCTCCAACTTTCCCCTCCCACATATGTGGGTTGACAAGTGTGCATCACACATGCCTAACTTGGTTGTGTGTATGTGTATGTGCATGCCTGCACCAGTCGTGGGACTTGAACTCAGGACCGAGGTACTGTCTCTTTAGCTTTTTTTCACTCAAGGCTAGCACTCTAACATTTGAGCCGCAGCTCCCCATCTGGCTTTTTGATGGTGAATTGAAGAAGAGAGCCTCACAGACTTTCCTGTTGGCTTTGAACCATGATCCTCAGATACTCAGCCTCCAGAGTAGTTAGGATTACAGGCACAAGGCACCAGGACCTTGCTGGTTTAGATTGATTGATTGATTAATTGATTTTTTGCTGGTGTGTCAGGGTTTAAACTCAAGGCCTCAGATTTGCTCAGCTTTTGCTTGTTTAGCTGGCCACCAGCCACTTGCGCCATACCTTCAGCTTGGCTTTTTGCTGGTTATTTTGAAGAGGGAGTATCAAAGACTTTCCTGCCATGGTTTGCTTCAGACTGAGATCCTCTGGGCCTTACCTTTCTGAGCTGCTAGGCTGAAAAATATGAGCCATTGGCATCCATCTCCTAGTTTGTTTTGTGAGATAAGATTTTGCTAACTCTTTGGCTTGGGTTGGTCTTTCCATCTCTAGATCCCTGTAGGTGAGATTCTAAGTGTGTACCGCTAAGTCCTGCCCCTACCATGGTCTTCAACATTTCACAGTTAAAATCACATACACTTAAAAGGCAGAAGAAGAAGGAGGAGGAGAAGGAGGAGGAGGAGGAGAAGGAGAAGGAGAGGGAGAAGGAGAAGGAGAGGGAGAGGAAAAAAAGCCCATTTCTAGCCAGGCATCAGTGGCTCCTGCCACGATCTATTCAGGCAGCTGAGATCTGAAGCTGAGGATTGAGGTTCAAAGTCAGCCTGAGTAGGAACATCTGTGAGATTCTAATCTCCAATTAACCACCAAAAAGCCAAAAGGGGAGCTGTGGCTCAAGTGGTAGAGCACTAGCTTTGAATGAAGAAAAAAAAATCTAAGAGACAGCATACCTAGGCCCTGAGTTCAAATCCCAGTACTGGCAAAATACATACAAAAAGAAGTTTACACTTGTCAGCAAGAACATTGCCCTTGCCCTGGAGACAGAAGCCTCGAAGATCACACCTGGTATTAAATAATTCAACCATTTGGGTGAAGTTCTCGCTAGAATGGGTCCAAACCATGAATAATTCAGACATCAGGGAGTGTATCACTTCATTCTGCAGACATTAGCCAAAAGACACTCACCAAGAAAACCACGAAAAAACAAAAACCACCTGGACGGCTTGAAAAGCGGCTAGAGGTGAGTAGTTAAAGCGTCTGGGCCACCACGGATCAATTAGACCAAACAAAGCCCCTGCCTGCTCTGCTTTCCAGGTCTCGGAAGGAAGTATGCAGTGCCACAGACTATCCCCCATTCCTTTCAGGAAGTCACTCCACTTTAGGTCTAGCCCTTTTTCTCTGTCTCATTTCTGTGTGCCTTTTTTTTTCTTTCTGCCAGTCATGGGGCTTGAACTCAGGGCCTGGACACTGTCCCTGAGCTTCTTTGGCTCAAGGCTAGCACTCTACCACTCGATCTCCACAGTTCTACTTCCAGCATTTTGAGCAGTGAATTGGAAGATAAGAGTCGGACTTTCCTACTGGGACTGGCTTTGAACCTTGATCTTCAGATCTCATCCACCTGAGTAGCTAGGATGACAGGCATGAGTCAATGGTGCCCAACTACTTCTGGATTTGTTTTTTTGTTTCAGGAGATAATCTCGTTTCCTCCTTAACAGAGAGAAGGGGAGCAACCAGAGGACAGCACCCCATATCTATCCATTGTTACTCTCCCCCCGCACTCTTATAGATCGCACAAGGTGATTGATCTATGCTTAGTGATCTAATGTCCACTCCAGCATGCTCCCACTGGTTCTGCTTCTTTCTTGCTCATGTAAGCACATGGCTCTACTTAGATGTCCTCTCTTCTCTCTTTCCTCAGCAATTTTCTTTAGAGACTGGCCTCATTAGGTCTCCCAGATCACAATCCTCCAGCCTCAGCCTCCCAATTGCTGGGATTATAGGCATGCGCCACCATGCATAATGTATATTATCTCCTTTTTTTCACCCCTTCCCTTCAAGGAGCTCTCAGCAGTACACAAATGTTGGCCTGAGTCCTGTCTTTAATTTTATGGATAGTAAAGAAACATGCTTAAGTCAGGTGCCATTAGCTCACATCTGTTATCCTAGCTCCTTTGGAGGCTGAGATCTGAGGATCATGGTTCAAAGCCAATCTGGGCAGAAAAAAAAATCCATGAGACTCTTTTTTTTTTTTTTTT